AAGATGTCACCTTCCAGGGGTACTTTATCAAGAAGGTTGGCAACTCTCTGTTAATTTACCTTTGACTGAAAGAAAAGGCTTTAAGTAATAAATCTGCTCTTGTGTTGCCTTCAGAACACGGTTGTATTTCCTCTTCTGACCTCTGTCCTGCATGATGAGAGTGAATGGGAGAGCCCTCACACCTTTAGCTCTTCTCATTTCTTGGACAAAGAGGGTCAATTCATCAAGAGAGATGCCTTCTTGCCTTTTTCTGCAGTTATGAAAACGATGTTTCTCATATTTAATACATGTTAGAGGTTATTCCCACTTGCTCAGATATGGTTGGGTTTAAACTCCCGAGCCGCTTTGTTCTTTCAGGTCGCAGGGTGTGCCTCGGGGAGGGTTTAGCTAAGATGGAGCTCTTCCTCTTCTTCACCTCCCTCCTTCAGCATTTTCGTTTCACACCCCCAACTGGAGTCTCAGAAGATGAACTGGATTTGACAACAGCCGTTGGTTTCACCATTCCTCCTTTGCCTCATGAGCTGTGTGCTGTCATTCGTCAGTGAGGAGGGAAGTGTGGTGTTGGATGACTTCCACATCCTCCGTCAGTGAACACTGAACACAGACAGGTACAAATATTAATTTAGTCACTAGTCGAAAAGTGGTTTTAAAGAGCTGGATTGGCTTTAGCAAGACACCAGTTCAGATAATATTCTTGCCTTAATGACACACTGTTATTTTTATTTACAGATAAACATTCATAGGCAATAATTGAGTGTATTGAAGAGTAATTACAGATTATAGCTTTGTCCACAGCACAGTTTGTTTCCACAGCAATAAAGAACAGCTTAGTGACATTTAATTTTGGCCCCATGTCTTTTTCAGAGTAAACATTAATTATTTTTATACATTTTCATTCCCCTTTAACTTTTCATTTGTGACCATTTTCAGTATTTTCAGAGAAGCCAGATTCATGTTGAGCTGGTAAAAGCAGAATAAAGAGTAAACTTATTTCCTCATAAACAGTGTCTTTCTATCTATTTGAGCTACCACATTGGTTATGGCCAAAACTCCACTGCAGCCTCTCCTCTAACTGGTATAATGAACAATATCTGTAACTTGAGTATTTCTCAGAGTAATTTTAGACTAGTTCATCCTAGGTTGTATGAGAAGATGATTCACCCAGACTTATCGACCTCGGTCTAAGAGCCACACCCTTATCTCACCCCTTATCTCACCCTGTAGTTCATTCAACCTACTTTGTAGTAGTAGAAGTTGAGTAATCATCCACAGGAAAACTCGCATTGACAGTCACTCATCCTCCTTGTATATTGCAGTTCTCACCGATATGGTACTTTTTAGAATCCAGGACTAGGATTCAAGGGTATTGTTTTAATATTTGCAACTGAGAAAACCATTTAAAACCTCCTTTATGATAATAGAGTTAAACCAGGCATCCAGGATTCATGAACATGAGATGGTGACAATAATGATTCAGAACTTTGTTAATTTCTCATGCGTTGCATTTAATTAATGATTTACAGGGATTATAGCAACAATTCAGCAACAGTGATTATATCCATTTACATTGCAGCATAGATAATTAAGAATCCATACATTACTTGTAGGGATTCCTATTAATTGCTTGTTGGTGTCTACAGGATTGACAATCCAATTTGTGTTGTAACTCCTAGTTCTGATAAGATGAAATGGAGAGTTATAAGTCCGTAAGCTCCGATGAGCAATAATAGAAAAATATTAATCCTCAGGCTTTGATAAGCAAAAGTAGAAAAATATTAATCCACACGCCCCATTGGGCCAATATATGGGAAAATGTTTACAAGTTCAGGGGAGAACCTTTACCACTCAGGAACCTCGGACCGTTACTGGCCTCCAAGAAGGCCTGATACTCTGAACTGCAGTTTGGTGCATAGGCACAAACAACAGTTAGAGCCCGTCCCCCACCCAAAGGCAAAGGGAAGCCAACCTCCCATCTACCGGAGAAAACTCCAACACACAGGCACCAAGTCAGAGGGCTACAAGTAGACCCATACCAGCTCGACACCTCTTACCATGGGCAACTCCAGAGTGGAATAAAGTCCAGCCCCTCTCAAGTAGATCGGTTCCAGAGCCCATGCTGTGCATCGAGGTGAGCCCAACTATATCTAGTTGGTACCTCTGAACCTCACACACAAGCTCAGGCTCTTTCCCCACCAGAGAGGTTACATCCATGTCCCAACAGCCGGCTTTGCTAAGCCAGGGTCAGAGTACCAAGGTCCCTGCCTTTGGCCACTGCCCTTGGCATCATGCACCTAACTTTTATAGCCCTTCCTGTAGGTGGTGGGTCCACAGGAAGACAAACTCATGCTGCTCTTTTGGGCATGGGTAGAAACCCGGTCACCAGTTGCTTACCAATGAGCCCCTCCCCCAGGTCTGGCTCCAGGGTGGGGCCCCGGTAACCTACGTCAGGGCAAGGGACACTGAGTTCCTTCTTTTGTCTTTTCCATAAAAATCTTCTGAATTGCTCTTTGTCTGGCCTGTCACCTAGGACCAATCTGACTTGGGAGACTCTACCAGTGGCAATTATAATTGCTCTTGATAGCATAGCTCCTAGGATCATTCAGGCGCAAAAACTCCTCCACCACGATGAGGTGACGATTCAAGAGGAGCCCAAATTCAGTATCTCAGAAAATTAGAATATTACTTAAGACCAATAAAAAAAAGGATTTTTAGAAATGTTAGCCAACTGAAAAGTATGAACATAAAATGTATGAGTATGTACAACACTCAATACTTTGTTGCAGTTCCTTTTGCCTGGATTACTGCAGCAATGCGGCGTGACATGGAGTCGATCAGTCTGTGGAACTGCTCAGGTGTTATGAGAGCCCAGATTGCTCTGATAGTGGCCTTCAACTCTTCTGAATTGTTGGGTCTGGCATATCGCATCTTCCTCTTCACAATACCCCATAGATTTTCAATGCTGTTAAGGTCAGGCAAGTTTGCTGGCCAATTAAGAACAGGGATACCAAGGTCCTTCAACCAGGTACTGGTAGCTTTCTGTTAGAAAATGAAATCTTCAGCTCCATAAAGTTGGTCAGCAGCAGGAAGCATGAGGTGCTCTAAAACTTCCTGGTAGACGGCTGCGTTGATCTTGGACCTCAGAAAACACAGTGGACCAACACCAGCAGATGACATGGCACCCCAAACTATCACTGACTGTGGACACTTGACACTGGACATCAATCAACTTGGATTATGTGCCTCTCCAGACTCTGGGACCTTCATTTCCAAAGGAAATGCAAAATGTACTTTCATCAGAGAATATAACTTTGGACCACTCACCAGCAGTCTAGTCCTTTTTGTCTTTAGCTCACGCAAGACACTTATGACTGTGTTTCTTGTTCAAGAGTGACTTGACACAAGGAATGCAACAGCTTAAACCCTTGTCTTGCATATGTCTGTGCATGGTGGTTCTTGAAGCACTGACTCCAGCTGCTGTCCACTCTTTATGAATCTCCCCCACATTTTTTAATGGGTTTTGTTTCACAATCCTCTCCAGGGTGTGGTTAGCCCTATTGCTTGTACACATTTTTCTACTATAGCTTTTCATTCCCTTCACCTCTCTATTAATGTGCTTGGACACAGAACTCTATGAACCCCAACCTCTTTAGCAATGACCTTTTGTGCTTTTCCCTCCTTGTGCAAGGTGTCAATGATTGTCTTTTGGACAATAGTCAAGCCAGCAGTCTTCCCCATCATTCTGTAGCCTACAGAACTAGACTGAGAGGCCAGTTAAAGATCTTTGCAAGTGTTTTGAGTTAATTAGCTGATTAGAATGTGGCACCAGGTGTCTTCAATACTGAACCTTTTCACAATATTCTAATTTTGTGAGAAGCCGAATTTTGGGGTTTTCATTAGTTGTCAGTTATAATCATTAAAATAATTAAACATTTGGAATATATCAGTCTGTGTGTATTGAATTAATACACAGTAGTCCCTCATTTATCGCAGGGGATCCGTACTTTGAAGACCCGCAATAAGTGAAAAACCACAAAGTAGGAATAGTAGTACAAGTAGCAAGTAGTAGTTTATTTTAGTAGTTATATATGTATATAGATATAAAGGTGTTTTAAGCCCTTCCCACACTCTTGCAATATTCTAAACAATGTTTCTAAACTCTAAACACTCTAAAAGAGCACAGAATGTCATGATTTCCCTCTCTCTGCCTCCGCTGCTCTCAGCCACCTGCAAGCGCTCTCGGCCATGCCCACTTCTCCGCACGCAGATCAGCTGTTCAGCTGTTCAGCTGCAGGAGGAAGTTTATCCTGCAGTAAGGGCTGCACAGTGGCACTGGAGGAAGCTTTTTCTACAGTTGTGGGCTGCACAAAGGAGCAGCTGGTGCTAAATAATTTTAAAGAATTTATTTTAACTAAAAATTCCATGCCAATCGTGTGGCTCATCCATCAATCGGCAAATTGTGTGTCATGACCAATCTTATTTTGAAAAATCGCTATAGAGCGAATCCGTGATAAATAAACCGCAAAGTAGCAAGGGACTACTGTGATATAGAAAGTTTCACTTTGTGAATGGAATTACTGAAATAAATCAACTGTTTCATGATATTCTAATTTTATGACCTGCACCTGTATTATACATACACATATACATACATACAGTACATAAATTAAAATTATTGTGAAAATATGGTGCCAAGTGAAGGATGCCCAATATTTTTGTTTTCACTTTGGAGATGTTCAACCCTAAGTTGTTGTTTGTTTAAAGTTATTTTATATATTTTTTTAAATAAGGGGCAGATATTATAATAATTTTTTTTAATTTCTGCTTCCTTTACATTACATGTTTATTTTCTTTTTGAAGAATTTGTTTAGTTTATTTTGTTTCTTTGAAATGAATGAATAAAGGAATGAAATAAGCAATACTATATACATACATACCGGTCATACACATATGCATACATACCGGTATATACTTTGATAAATTTGCAATATGATTATTTCAAGATTTACAACTTTATGCCATGGCTGGGCCCTTTTTTTAAAAACTGGAAGAATGTTATGAAGAATGTAGAAGATGGAAAGGCAGATGCTTGGAAGAAGATAGTAGATCTGAAGGAAACTCTGAACCCTGAGTTGTGCAGATGCTTTGTTGATGCCTTTCTGATTCATAAGAAACATCTGGAGGTGAGCAATTAAACTTCAACAAGTCCATTTGCATGATGTCATTGTTGATCAACAAGTTTTTTCCATCTTCTTTGTGTCTGTCGCAAGGAATCTGGTATCAGAAATTCACACTACCATGATGATAACTTGGTGTACAGTGTGGCAACTTTATTTGCAGCTGGAACTGACACCACATCTACGACTCTGAAGAGGAGTCTCCTTTATATGGTCAAGTTTCCTCATATTCAAGGTAAAAACCTCATATTGGGCCCGTCAAATATTGCAACAATTTATATTGTTATTATTATCTAATGTTCATCCAGATCACGTTCAGGAGGAGCTGAGCAGAGTGGTTGGAAGGCGGCAGCTTCAAAATTTGGAGGACAGGAAGGATTTGCCGTACACTGATGCTGTTCTCCATGAGACACAGAGATTTGCAAACATTACTCCAATTGTCATTTCTCACACTACAAGCAAAGATGCCACCTTTCAGGGTTATTTCATTAATGAGGTCAGCAGCTCACATTGGTTCAGTTTTCACAAAAATGTTGCTTGTTTTAAAAATAATAATCTTACATAAATGCAAATAATAAAAGATCATCAGGCATTTGGGGTCAACTGTCAAGGATAATGGGAAGTGTGGTAAAGAGGTGAAAAAGAGAGTCCAGGCAGAATGTAGTGGATGGAGAAAAGTTTCAGGAGTGATTTGTAACAAAAGGGTGTCAGCAAAGGTCAAAAGAAAAGTTTACAAGACTGTGGTGAGACCAGCTGTGTTGTGTGGTCTGGAGACAGAGACATGGACAAAAAGACAGGAGAAAGAATTGGAAGTGACAGAAATGAAGATGTTGCGATTCTCATTAGTAGTGACAAGGATGGATAAAATTAGGAATGAGATTATCAGAGATACAGCACAGGTTGAACAACTAAGTTAGAGAGGCCAGACTGAGATGGTTTGGACATGTCCAGAGGAGGGACAGTGGGTATATTGGTAGATTGTTAGAAATTCAGCTGCCAAGAAAATAACAAAGAGGAGATGTGTGGATAAGAGGACATGGAGATGGAGTGAGGACAGAGTGAGATGGAGGAGGATGACTCGCTGTGGCGACCCCTGAAGAGGGAAAAGCTGAAAGAAGAAGACTGTGAATGTTTGTTCACACAAGATCTAATTTAACACTTTTCACATTTTCTTGCAGGTCGCAGGTCATGTCTTGGAGAATCTGGCTAAAATGGAGATCTTCCTCCTCTTCACCTCTCTTCTTCAGCGTTTTTTGTTTCACTCCCCCACCTGGTGTCTCAGTAGATGAAGTGCATTTAACACCAGTTGTGGGCTTTACTCTCACACCTAAACCCAAAAACTGTGTGCTGTTCTTCTCCAGTGAGGGAAAGAGATTTTATTCATATTTATAAGTATATAAATAATAAATATGTCATAATATTCACATATCTATATTATAAATATTATAATTGTTTATATTATTGCAAAAATTAAACAATATTTATGGTGTGTTATTATGACACTGGGCAAATTTACAAGGCATTGAAAAAAAAAAGATGAATCCTGTCAAAAATGCACGATGTATCTTGAGATGAAAATTATTCTTACCACAATAGTTTGATCTGGACTCTTCAGAAAAAAGAGAATCCCAGTATTGCAAACAAGTTATTTTCTTAATTTGTGGTACTTGATCATTTTCCGCAAAAATTTCCTTTTCCACTGCACAAAATTAAAGGAAAACTGGTTTCTACAGTAATTACATTGATGGATACTTCAATTATTTACAGACGGTTCAAAGAAGAGATGGGTACATTATCAGATGCTTTTGTAATTTCCACCATATAAAATTGTTGTCGTAAAGTTGTTATGTTCTGGTTGCTGTTTTTTCATTCAATTTATTTATACAGGTTAATCCCAATGGGCCTCGGTGATATAAGAGAGACCTGATTCTAACAAACAGTGATGACAACAGTGGACAACAAATACAACAGTAGACGATCATAAATTTAAACATACAAATTGAGAAGATAGAGTGAAAGAAAATGGCATTAAAAGTGAAAAAAACAAACAAAAAAAAAAACAGCTAGCTTGTAAGGCGATGTAGAATACTAAAACAGGAACGTGTCTACATTGTTTTTTGCCAGGAACTTAACAGATGTTTGAAGCCATTTAGAGAGGTCAAGGTCGAGAGCTTCAGATCTTTTTGCAAGATATTCCATACCATACCATATCATACCATTTTATTTATAGAGCACTTAAAACAGCTACAAGGCCAACCAAAGTGTTGTACAGACAGAACAACAGACAGCACATGAAGCAATATACAAAATGAAGTAAATCAAAAATATAGACATAAAAACGATGCAGATAATAAATATGACAACAAACCAGTGTGGAGCATACAGGTTCAAAACACAAATCCTCTGGTGTTGAAAGCTACTGAATAGTAGTGAGTTTTTAAACGGGACTTGAAAACCAAGAGGGAGGGGGCCTGTCTGACATGCAGAGGTAACTCATTCCGAAGTCTTGGTCCCGCTACAGAGAAGGCCCTGTCACCTATGCGCTTAAGACGAGTTCCTGGAACTGTGAGGAGCAATTGGTCCGCTGACCTCAGGGAACGTGGTGGAACATCCGGTTGTAGCAGATCAGAGAGATGGTGTGTGTGTGTGGGGGGGGGGGAACTGTTCAGTGATTTGTAGACATACAGGAGTATTTTGAACTGGATTCAAAGGTGAACCTGTAGCCAGTGCAGTGAGGCCAAAACTGGTGTAATGTGCTCTCTTTTGCCTGTACTGATTAAAAATCGGGCTGCCTCATTCTGGACCAGTTGTAGTCTAGCAATGGAGGTCTGACTGATACCAAACAGGAGTGAATTGCATTAATCGACCCTAGATGTAATGAATGCATGTATTACTGTCTCCAGGTTATCTTTCAACAGTAAGGTCTTAAGCTTAGACAGTTGCCTCAGTTGGAAAAAAACAGGATTTAACAATCATGTTTACATGACTGTTAAGTTTCAGTGAAGGGACTCTTTGTTTTTCTGACAGGGTTAGAGTGGAAAGGTCAATGCAGTGGTTTGTGATCGTGTCGTTGGGAGGGAACAACATGACTTCAGACTTCTTTTAATTGAAACTTAAGAAGTTTAAAGCCATCCAGTCCCTGATGTCCATTATTCCAGGAAATAGGAGCGGAGTAGGAGAAGGCCCTTTTGCCTAGTTCAGTCTGCACTGAGGGGACACTGCATGTAATAATATCCTAAGAGCGCTCGCTGTAGCTGCACTCACGCAGTGACATGTAGGAGGAGATATATGAAGGCAGCAGACCAAGAAGTGATTTAAAGACGAAAATGTACCAGTGAAAGTGTCTACATGAATTTATAAATGACCATTTAACCAAAGAATACAGGGTGCAATGGTGGGTACGGTAGTTACAGCCAGTCATGAATCATAGTGCACTATAATAGAGAGCATCCAACATCTGCAGGGTGCTTCTAGGAGCGTTCATGTAAATAATATCACCGTAGTCAAAGGAGAGAAGGAAAGTCACAGTTACAAGACATTTTCTAGCATTCAGAGTTAAACAGAATCTGTTTCTGAAAAATAAACCTCATTTACCTGTAGGTTTCCTTACTAAGTTTTTCATGTGGGACTTAAAAGAGAGATGCGAATTGACCAAGATACCCAAATATTCTTAGGAATCGACAAACTCAATAGGAGTACCATTCTAGGATAAAATCGAAGTAAAAATTGCTGGGACCAACTTCCTGTTTGAAAACAACATCCCTTTGGTTTTGTCGTCTTTTAGGACAAGTTTGAGATGGATCAAATCAGACTGGATGATGTCGAAAGCGGATTGCAAAAGCTGGAAAACCTTAGCAACTGTTTTAGCTCGACATTAAACAACTGTATCAGCATAGAAATATAAGGATGCATCAGGGATGCTCTGACCCACATTATCTATGTCGATTGTAAAGAGGGTGGGACCTAAGACTTAGCCCTGTGGTACACCATTTTTGATCGTTAAATAACTGGAGGAAGTGTTTAATATACCATATTATTTTACATTATTAGTGTTTTGTATCTATTAGATCTTTTAGCGTATTGTTTATCATTCGTTTAGCGTATATCTTAATGTATATCTTAGTGTATATCCATCCATCCATCCATTATCTTTACCCGTTTATTCCATTTTGGGTCACGGGGGTCGCTGGTGCCCATGTCCAGCAATCACTGTGCAAGGGGCGGGGTACACCCTGGACAGGTCGCAAGTCCATCACAGGGCCACATAGAGACAAACGAGACAAACAACCATTCACTCTCTCACTCACACCTAGGGACAATTTAGAGTTACCAATCAGCCTAACATGCATGTTTTTGGTCTGTGGGAGGAAACCGGAGTACCCGGAGAAAACCCACGCATGCACGGAGAGAACATGCAAACTCCACCTAGAAAGGCCCCTGGACCGGGGTTTGAACCAGGGACCTGTTCGCTGAGAGGCAACAGCTCTACCAGTTGCGTCACCGTGCTGCCCTATCTTAGTGTATATCTTAAATCCTTATATACTGTTTTTTTATACTTTATATTTTCACTATTTTTGGGTATAACCAGGACCCTGAGTACACAATTTTGTTCCACCTCATGTACCACATGTGATGTGAATGACAATAAAGAAACTTGAACTTGAATAAAGGCACAATGATGATTAAGGTTTGTTTAGGGTCTTTGCTGCTCCGTGCGTCCTCCATCTTTTTTATTCCAACTTTTGTTTATATGAGATGAGAGAGCCTGTTTCAGGTGGATCTGAAGAGACACGACCAAAGTCTTCTTTATGTGAATTATCCACTGTTTATCAATTTATTACTTGTCATTACATTTATTTCCATATTACAGACACAAGACTGATTTTTGTGAACAGTGAGTCTCACATTTAGAAGTTTTGTGTTTTTAGCTTTACAAAAAATGTGGACCAGTTTTCCAAGTCTTCTTTGGCCCACATAAGCTAGTGGTTCTGATGATGGTGCACTTTGCTGATGAATTTGGAAGCAAATAAATCACTTCACTTTTATATAATTTGAACCAAGGACATAGTAAAATGAATTGTCTCTAACAAGAGTAAATGCGCTTCTAGTTGTTACAACACAGTTTTATTCTATTTTCACACACTTTTTGCCCATTGAAAATGTGTCACAGAATATTGTTTTTCCACACAAGGCAGCTGACGGCTCCATAAGGTAAGAGAAATGCGTGTTTGTTTGTCCTGCGGAGCACTAAGGGTGCATTCACACCAGCCCTGTTTAGTCCGCTTTAATCGAACTCTAGCTCGTTTTCCTAGAAAGTCCAGTTGGTTTAGAGAGGTGTGAACGTGCCATCGAACTCTGTCATGGAACAAAAAGGCGAACTCTGGCCCGGGCTAAAACCTAGGTCTCAGTCCCGTAGAAGAGAACTCCAGCGCGGTTCGAGTACATTGTGAATGCAAACAGACTGGGCCCCGCTCCGCAGGACAAACAAACACGCATTTCTCTGACCTTATATGGAGCCGTCAGCTGACTTGTGTGGAAAAACAATATTCTCCATGGTCTTCTGTCTCATCTTCTGCTCATGCTAAGTCCATTTTTGAAAAATGACAAAATATAACTCCTAAAACTGCTAAAACTTGATGCCACTTCGTTTTTATTTTTATTTACAGAAGAAGAAGAAGACGTGTCTTCAGAGGTTTTTGTGTCGTTTCTTTCAGTAGTTCTAGGTGCAGCGTCCCCACAGGCGAGCGGGGGTACAGGTTGGTTCAACAGGTTGACTCAACTGCACAGCGCAGTGTGAATGCAAACGCACCAGCTTAAATGTAAACAAAAGGTCATGAATATTGGTCCCGAACCGAACCGAGTCTACCGGACTATCTGGTGTGAAAACGACCTAAGGGTGCATTCACACCAGCCCTGTTTACCTGTTCAACATGGTGGTTGGAAGCCAGCAGGTTCAAATGGCGAGGTTGCAGGAAGAAATTGCCACGCATGAATGCTGATATTTAAGAAACAGAGATTTGCAAACATTGTCCCCTTTTCTCGTCCTCATACCACAAGTAAACATGTGACCTTTTACAAGCCTACTTCATCAAAGAGGTGAGCTGCATCTCTATGGTGCACCTTAATAAGATTTTGACTTTTCCTTTATCTAAAAATTGTTGGGGGTTTTTATTACAGCTTTTATGTTGACCTACAGGGAACAACAGTTTTCTCTCTTCTGTCCTGATGGATGAGGGTGAATGGGGGAGCACGCACAGTTTCAACCTTTCCAATTCCCAAGATAAGGAGGCTAAATTCATCAGGAGAGATGCTTTCATGTCCGATGCAGCAGGTGCTTTGTTGGAGCTTTGCCTTCTACTTTCACATATTATTAATGTATTTTTACAATGGTTTGATTAGATTTTGTGGCCTAAACTTGAGATTAAAAGTTTATGACAAGCAAAACTCCCATGCACAAAATACGTGCTCAGTCAGCTGAGTGAACACCCAACCCAAAGATTATTAACCTAAAAATGCACTGTTTGTAGGTCACAACGTGTGTCTTGAAGAGAGTTTGTCCAGAATGGAGCTCTTCCTGTTTTTCACCTCCCTCTCTCAACATTTTTGTTCCACTCCCCCACTTGGAACAAAAAAGGTTAAATTGTGTCATCTGGACCAGTTTCTTTAAGGATGATGAGCAACTCCATCACTTAAAGAAATTGGTCCAGATGACATGATTTAATCTTTTTTTTTTTTGTTATCTACCTGGATGATTGAGCTTACAACACTTCCCCTCCCCAACTTGGAGTTTTAGAAGATGAACTGGATCTGAAACCAGTTGTAGGTATGACCTTTGTTTCTAAATCCCAGAAGCAGTGTACTGTCCGTCACCACTGAAGAAGAGAGCCCAATCCAATAAAGCATTTTGTTTATACCACAGAAATGTGGTAATATTGAAAATTTAATTCTATTGTTTTAAAATAACAGAATAATGAAGTAAGCTTCAAGTTTGTTGATGGCATAAATTTGGTCCTTAATTAAGTCTAGCCAAAAAAAGTACTTTTTAAAATTATTCTGACAGATCATAAATCTAATTTTTCAATGTGGCCAGCATGTTTTATGTAAATTCTTAGTTTTTTCTTAGTATCTTGTTGAAATCATGCAGATATTTACCTTAATGCAGGACAGTAGCTGTCTTATTGCCTGATCCCCAATATGGGGATCATCATTACAAGCTGTACTTGTCCCATGGCATCAAACCAAAAACTGTATATATTGATAGATTCTAGATTTGGTTTTGTGTTTACGAGCTAAAAGATCATTTTGGAAATACACTGTTCCCATGTGGACAGAGTCTCAGAGATGCTCATCAGTCTCACTTGACAGGATCCGTGCCTGCACTCAAACCTCCAATAGAGGGCAAAATTTTCTTTTCAAAGCCACTGAAAAATATCTGAATAGAGTGAAAAATACGATTTTTCTAATCAATTCGAAAAGAAAAATTCTACAAAGTTAGATCACAATCTTAGAGGCAGCATGTACCAAAAACACTGAACACAATAGTCTTTACATGCACAAAGAAAACCAAAACCCTGAAGGAACAGGTATAATCAGAGTGAAATTCAAGAGCTCAGGTGTGAACAATCAGCAAACCAAATCCAGCATGAAGTGAAAACCAACAGAAAGGTACCAAACTAGGGCTCTACAAAATAAAACAAGAATTATAACTGAGAATTAATTCTTTCATCTAAATAATTAATTATTTAACAAGAATTAAACAGATCTAAATTCAGAATAAGGCGGCAACGGCTACATAAAACTCAAACTGAACCCCACAAACAATGACAGCTTCCCCTTTTCTTTCTCTTTTGTCTGTTTCTTCTTTACAAATCTAACTTTAAATGCTATTAAAAAAAAATTCTTTCCATTTTATTGCAGACAAAACAAGAATATCTGGTAGTGACTTTTTATTTTTTCATTTTGACTGAGTATTTAAGGAAGGACTGTAATGTAGCTTCAGGACAGTCAAAAGGTGTGTGTCAGACAACTAAGAAGAAGCGTCAGGTGACCACAGGAACATGTTGGAGGACATTTTTCAATCCCTCACTTCAGTCTCACTGTTTGGGGCCTTTATTGCTCTCTTTGTCTTCCACCTTTTGTATTCAAACTTAAATTTTCAGGAAAAACGTGATCCTCCAGGACCCATACGTGTTCCTGTGTTGGGTAACCTGCTTCAAATTGATCTGAACAGACTTGACCAAAGTCTTTTTGATGTGAGTAAATTGCTGTAATATATTTTTATCCATTAAAACATAATGCTTTTGGTAAACTGCAAGTCTCACTTTTTAACTGCGTTGTGTTTTCAGCTGTCCAAAAAATATGGATCAGTTTTCCAAGTCTACTTTGGACCACAGAAAGTGGTGGTTTTGGCAGGTTACAGGACAGTCAAACAGGCTATGGTGAACCACGCTGATGAGTTTGGAAACAGAGAAATCACTCCACTCTTCTATGATTTAAACCAGGGGCATGGTAAAACATGCCCCTGGTTTGTTTAAGTGGTCAAATAAGGAAAATGTTTTCCTTATTTGACCACTTTTTTTTCTGTTCCCAGGTGTTTTGTTCTCCAATGGCGATTCGTGGAAAGAAATGAGGCGTTTTGCTCTGACAACTCTAAGAGATATTGGGATGGGCAGAAAGATGAGTGAAGAGACAATTATTGCAGAAAGTGGTTATCTCAAGAAAGAGTTTGAACAATTTGAAGGTAAATCTGAATGTGATTTGCACATTTTTTGTGATTTTTACAGAAATGGGTCAGTGAGTCTTAATGTGCACTACCCAAATATATATTTTAATTGTTTTCAGAATAAGATTTAGGATGTGTTGACTGAAACATTTTTTAAAAGTCCTTCCTTTTGGGAACGCACCATTATACAGATTTTTACATCTTGTAAGTCGTCCCTTTTGAAGAATTCCTACTAATAGTTTTTGTTTTTCAATTTTCTAACAGGTGAAGCCTTCGACACTCTGGCTATCAATTATGCTTCTGCAAATGTGATATCAGCGCTGTTGTTTGGAAAAAGATTTGAATATAATGATCAGATCCTCCAAAATATAGTGCAGATTGATCGGGAGAATATTCATTTGACAGGATCGGCTTCTGTCATGGTATAGCAGAATGAAAATTTATGTTTTTTACTTTAAGTTGATTTGAAATGCATTGAATCTTTAGATCATTATCTTTTTAAATTTATTTACTACCTTTCATGCTTGCTATTTCTTGATAAAAATGTTTTGGGTTTAAGTAGTTGGTAGGTCCAAGGACGAAAATTATATAATTTTCTTTAAAATAGTATCTGTCTTGCAAATTCCACAACTTTAAAGTTTTTGTACTGCCTCATTTATTTTTTCTAATTTTTATTATTTAATTTTTTAGATTTACAATCTATATCCATGGCTGGGCCCTTTCTGTCAAAACTGGAAGGATTTGATGAAGAACAATGAAAATGGTGTTGCAGACCTAAGGATGTTAATTGCAGATCTGAAAGAAACTTTCGACCCGAAGGTTTGCAGATGCTTTGTGGATGCATTTCTGATTCGTAAGCAATATTTGAAAGTAAGTAGACCTCAACGAGTCCATTCTCAGGCTGTAAATATTATTAATTTTCTTTTCATTGTGTTACACTAGGATGATGTCAGAAACTCCCACTATCATGATGACAACCTGCTGCACACTGTAGATAATTTGCTCACAGCTGGTACAGATACCACAGCAGTTACACTAACGTGGTGTCTCCTGTACATGGCCAAGTTTCTTCATATACAAGGTGAGAAAAAAAATCATTTCTTAGTGTTTTACAAATTGTTTAGTATTATTCATAATTATAAGCTGTTTTATTTGAATGTGCGTCCAGATCGTGTCCAGGAGGAGCTGAGCAGGGTGATTGGAAGCCGACAGATTCGAACTGAGGACAGAAAGGACTTGCCGTACACTGACGCAGTTATCCACGAGTCACAGAGATTTGCAAACATTGCCCCCACGGCCCTTCCTCACAGAACAACAAAAGATCTCACCTTCCAAGGCTATGTCATTAAAGAGGTCAGTAAAATGGATTTAATGGAAGTTTGTTCTATTTCTGACAAATTTTGTTTTCATAATGTCTGCTTTTTCAATTCCAGGGAACCACAGTAGTTCCTCTCCTTACTTCTGTCCTGTATGATGAGAGTGAATGGGAGAGTCCTTACACTTTCAACCCTTTCCATTTCCTGAATAAGGAGGGTAAATTCATCCGGAGAGATGCCTTTATGGCTTTTAATGGAGGTACTTTAAATAATCAGTCTTTTAAATTTGACATTTTTAACGTCTGTTCACATCTTAGACAACTGTTCAACTACTTTACACAATACACTTAATGATCCTCCTGGAGAAGAGTCAGAGCTATCAAAATACTATCATTACTTTCCTAAATATTCACAAATATGCCATTAAAGCCATCACAATTTCAAACACTTGTCATTTTCAGAAACATCCCTCTTTCAAAAATGGAAAGATTATCACCAATAAAAAAACTCTACATGGAAAATTGTTTATTGGAACCCTCGGCGTGGAAGAAATGCAACATTTTGCTTTGCGTTCACAGGCCGTAGGGCATGTCTTGGAGAGAGTCTGGCAAGAATGGAGCTCTTCCTGTTCTTTACTTCCCTCCTTCAACATTTTCGTTTCACCCCCCCACCTGGAGTTTCAGTGGATGAAGTGGATCTGGATCCACTTGTAGGTTTGACCCTCGCTCCTAAACCTCAGCAGTTCTGTGCTGTCCGACGCCTCTGAGGAAGACTGGATTGTTGTTTGTATGACACATGCTGTGTTGGATAATGAGACTTAATTTACAGGATTTCTGCTGTAAATTGCAGGATTACTGACAACATAAAAATATTTCTCACTAAACAGATTTTTAGTTTTTTCTTTTTCTCATTTCAAGGTCTAAAATACTGGAATGTTTTATACTATAACTATATACATTTCTGTTTAAACTGAGACAAATCTGTCTGTCCTGTTGTTATTTATTTATTTATTTATTTTTTTCTGCACCCCTATTCCTCATGTTCTGCTCCTGTGCACAGCTGATCCTAATCACTGCAGGTGTTTCCCACTCATCTCAGTACTGTCAGTCTGGGCATTATCTAACTATCCAACCCTTCCACGGTGTCTTTGTTTGGCTTTTCATTTCATGTCTGCACCCTCCTTGTGAAAGTAAATTTTACTGCCCCCTCAACATTATTATTATTTTTTTTTTTGTAAAATAAATTATTACTTATTTTACCTGGAGTCTCCTGCTTCTGCCTGCACTTGGGTTTGACATCATATAGCCAAATCATGCTATAAACATCACCATCCCACCAGAACAGTAAGATGCTTCCCAAGACCTGGATGACCAGTGACCTGAAGGAACTTCTAACAAGAAACAAAGAGCCTTCAGGGAGGGAGACGGGGAATTATTGAATACACATAAGCAACTAAAAGTCCAGATTAACAACAAGGAGGTGTACAAGAAGAAGCGGGAGAGCAAGCTCCAGCAGAACAATGTCACAGAGGTGTGGTCAGGGATGCAAAAGATCACAGGCTTCAAGCAGAAGGAGGATCAGAAGGATGGAAGCCTGGACAGAGTCAATGAACTGAACGCGTTCTTCAATAGGTTCAGTTCAGGAACAAGCTCAGCATCCTCCTCTCTTGCCACAAGCCTAACATGCATACCACCCTCCTTTGACCCAAGGCTGTCCTATCACACCTCAAATATTGTATCTATCACCTCAGTCATGGACCCTTCTTCTACATGTTGGTTTTGAACCAAATCAAAAGATGCTGATACCTCCTTTGCCTCCCCCCTCTGCGTCTCTAGAAGTGAGGTGAGGAAGCAGCTGGAGAGACTAAACTGGAATAAGGCTGCAGGTCCAGAAGGTGTCAGCCCCAGAGTCCTGAAGGTCTGTGCAGAGCAAATCTGTGGGGTTCTGCAGCACCTCTTCAACCTTAGCCTGACCCAGGAGAAGGTTCCAGTATTGTGGAAAACCTCCTGCCTTGTTCCAGTACCAAATAAAACTCACCCATCAGTCCTCAATGACTATAGACCTGTTACCCTGACATCCCACATCATGAAGGTCCTAGAGAGACTCCTGTTGGCCCACCTGACTAAACAAACACGCACATATCAGGACCCACTGCAATTTGCTTATCGGCATGGCCTTGGAGTTGAAGATGCCATCATACACCTGCTTCAGCAAACTCACTGTCATCTAGAAAAGGCAGACAGCTCTGTGAGAGTCATGTTCTTTGATTTTTCCAGTGCATTTAACACAATCCAGCCTGTTTTGCTTTGTCAGAAACTCTAGAAGACTCAGGTGGAGGTCTCAACAATCACCTGGATCAAAGACTACCTGACAAACAGACCACAGTTTGAGACTGAAGGGTTGTGTGTCTAACCAAGTGGTCAGTAGCTCAGGAGTACCACAGGGTACTGTACTTTCACCATTCCTTTTCACTCTGTACACCTCAGATTTCCAGTATAAACGGACTCCTGTCATCTGCAGAAATATTCTGATGACTGCAGCAGTCGGGTGTATCAAAGATGGACAAGAAGCTGAGTACAGGGAACTGGTGGACCGCTTTGTGGCATGGTGTGGAAACAATCATCTCATCTTGAATGTGAACAAAACAAAGGAGATTATTGTAGATTTCAGGAGAAACAGGAACAGGTCCAACCCTATTTCCATCATGGGAGAAGAAGTGGAGGTGTGGAGAAGTATAAATACCTTGGGGTTCACTGGACAACAGACTGGACTGGGAAGCCCACTGGACTCTAATGCTGTATAAAAGTCTGCAGTAAAATCTGTTCGACGCACACTCGATGACGTTGCACACGTGTCTACGTATGTAATCTGTCTTGAATGAGTCCTTGCAAGTAACGTGCTGGTTAAAAATCTTCTCCTGCCATCGAGAGTGGTTCATTTTATTTAAGTAAGTTAAGAAATAATATTTTTCTCCAACGTTCTTTTGGGTATCCTACTTTTGTTATTTCAATGAATGTTGTCATTTCCACGTCCATAAGGTCAGGTAATATATTTTAAAGTTTAATTTTAAAAATAAAAATGTTATGAACCATCAATTTATCTGACTGTTACATAATGTAATCTTTAGACTCGTCGTTGCTATAGAAAAAAATTATGATGCTCTTCAAAATATTAAAGGTTAGTGAGGTTAACACACTTTGGTAAATCAAAAACCAAGTCTACAACTTATCTAGACGTGAAACCTCAACAAATTAGGACCCAAAGTGCAGACTGAAAAACATGTTGCCAGAGAAAAGCAAACTCTGTCACTTGACTTCTTTATCTGTTGTGTCAAAGGGCAGCCACCTTTCAAGGAACATGTGATGTGTAAAATCAACAGCTGTCCCAGATCCATACAACAAAAACAAAAATGTTGATAAATGAGCCGTAAAACAAGGCTCAATGTGAATATCAGAAACGCTGTTTAATGGATCACGATTGCATATTGGTCATATTGAGGATTGGAGGCGCAGAGGTTAGAGAAGATGGGCCTGTGATCGGAAAGTCGCAGGTTCAACTTCCGGTACAGTCAACATTAAAACGTGGGTGGAAAAGGTAAAACACCCACACCTGCCTTCACCCTCATTCGCCTCACTCTGGGCCCCTGAGCAAGGCCCTTAACCCCCACCATCTGCTCCCTAAACAGGTCTCTCTTGAATATGAGTTCTTGTGACTCAATGAGACTACCTGCATAAATAAAGGGTCAATGAAAAAAAAATACATAAGTGATAATATGGTAGGTTGTTTAAAAACAGAAAGCCCTGTGACAATTTTAACTGAAAGAAAACTGCCTCAGAGAAATGTCTGAACTTTAACGTTTGACCAGAAAACTATGCAAAATTGACTAAGATTATTGCGCAAAATATTTCAAATACTACTAATATCGTGATGCATGCTCAATAATCCAGGTAGAAGCTCAAAATTTTATGACACTGACATAATTGAATATGTGGTTCAACAAGCTAAACTCAGAGTAACTAGCTGGAAGCAGCAGTTTCACTAACACACGAAAACAAAATTTCCAACAAAGTGGTGCAGTCTATTCATATATGTACATATATATATATATCCATCCATCCATCCATCCATTATCTTTACCCGCTTATTCCATTTTGGGTCACAGGGGTCGCTGTTGCCCATGTCCAGCAATCACTGTGCGAGGGGCGGGGTACACCCTGGACGGGTTGCAAGTCCATCACAGGGCCACATAGAGACAAACGAGACAAACAACCATTCACTCTCTCACTCACACCTAGGGACAATTTAGAGTTACCAATCAGCCTAACATGCATGTTTTTGGTCTGTGGGAGGAAACCGGAGCACCCGGAGAAAACCCACACATGCACAGAGAGAACATGCAAACTCCACCCAGAAAGGCCCCTGGACCGTGATTTGAGCCAAGGACCTGCTCGCTGAGAGGCAGCAGCTCTACCAGTTGCGCCACCGTGCTGCCCACACATATATATATATATATATATATATATAATATATACTGTATATATACATACTGTGTATATACAGTATATCACATCACACACCTCCAGATGAAGAAAGAGGGCCACCTGCATCATGAAGGACCCCACTCACCCAGCACACACACTTTTGACCCCGCTTTCCTTAGGCAGAAGATTGCAGAGCATTAAATGTAGAAGTTGAACAACTAGATTGAGGAACAGCTTGTACCATCAAGTTGTTAGACTCATAAATCCCTAACCAGGAAAATCACTATAAGAAAAAAAAAAGAAAGAAAAATCACTGTAATGCGACTTTAATTGGGATATGTGAATTATCTGTGCTGCTGATTATCCATGCTGCTGATCTCATGCTGCTGATTATCTCATGCTGCTATATTCATTCATACCCATCTACTCACTACAGACTCATTTGTGTTGCTGATTAATATACCATATTATGTTACATTATAAATGTTTAGCGTATATCTTAAATCTATTAGCATATAGTTTAGCATTTGTTTAGCCTATATCTTAGTGTAGATCTTAGATTTATTAGCATATCATTTAGCGTTCGTTTAGCGTATATCTTTGATCCCTATATACTGTTTCTTTTTAAAATTTATATTTTTGCTATTTTTGGGTGTAAGGAGCTTGTGCACAACTTCGTTCCACCTCATGTACCACATGTGATGCGAATGACAATAAAGAAACTTGAACTTGTGTGTGCATATATATATATTTATTTTTTAAACAAGTCTCCGTGGCTCATTGAGACTAACGTATAAATAAAGGCTGAATGAATGAAAAAAATATATATATATGTGATCACAACGGTGGTTGAGAGAACTTTAAAGAATGATGATCTGACAGGGAGCAGACAAAACATTGTAGCTTCATGATCTTTGAACAGCATAAGTAAAGAATCAGGGAGCACTTTGTTAGAAAGCAAAACTCACTGAAATGTGCCAAAGTGAATAATGACCCTACAAAATAAAACAGGAAGTGAATTGACCAAGTCACAGAAAAAGATGCAAACACAACAGCACTCAAGTTAACCCACAGACAATGACAGATAAACACGTTTCTACAATAAATGTATTTAAAACATGTCATAAGACACAAATCAAACAGGAAGCGCTGGATGTGACCAAACTTCCTGTTTTTGCTAATTTTCAGTAATTTATTTGATTGAGGGTTTAGATTATCAGCTGTGGGGGGATTGGAATTTAGTACATCTGCACAGTCCAAAGAAACCTGGAGAAACTCACAGGGC